CACCACCACCACCACCACCGCCACCACCACCACCACCAGCACCAGCACCAGCACCAGCACCAGAAGCAGAAGCACCAGCACCAGCACCAGCACCAGCACCAGCACCAGCACCAGCACCAGAAGCAGCAGCAGCAGCAGCAGCAACGGCAACAGCAACAGCAACAGCAACAGCAACAGCAACAGCAACAGCCACAAGCAACGGCAACAGCAGGAACTGTAGTAGGAGCGTCGTTCGTCGCAGCTGCTAGCACAGCAGTTTCAAAGGCGCACAACAGCAAATGTAACGAAACAGTCGAAAAAAGCACGCACTGCATGGGTTGCGGGTATGCGCAAGACCTTAGCTAGTGCTGACAGAAGGCTTCAGGATGCGAATGGCTGCTCCGGCTGGAAAGCTGTGAGCCACCTTCGGCTTGGAAAAGCTTGTGAGTTCGGGATCAGGGTTTAGGGTTCAGGGTTTAGGGTGTTACGACATCAGCGAGTCCCTAATCTTCCCAACTTATGCGATTGTGAGCGCCATGTCTCTCGGTGTCCACTTCACACCACGCACTCCCAAGCTTGAAAACCCCGAGTACAAGGATCGATGACTTTAGGGTTCACTACGCCATGAAGGTCGAATTGACCTCTACGGGCTCTTAAACGAGATTCATTGGCTTTCGGTGGAGTATAGAACTCTGGCAGAGCCTGCTATGGAAACGCTATGTGGGAACAATGACAGCCAAGCAGTATTATGTCAAGATGGTCAGCTATCAAACCCTCAAGCTCAATCCCCATAGAACCCTAAACTTCCAGCTTGTCCATCTGGAGTTGCTCCTGGGACTTTCTTGCTACCGTTGACTCGTAAGCGCTTGGGGTTTTGAAGGTTGGTTGATCAACCTCAGAACCCGCAAAGACCAAGAAACCGGATTCTGCAATCTCGATCCCCACATGAGCCTTTCACCCTCAACCTCTAACCCAAGCCCTTAGCCGCCCGATCGACCAGAAGTCACGAATTACAAAAAAGTGAGGATACTCGAGGAGCCGTCGAGATCCTTGTTGATACTCTTTGTGGTATTGCTGCTGCTCCTAGTCGAACCCCTGTGCTTCTGGCTGCTAGGTTCTTAAAACCTGAGCCCTGAACATTATAGGATGAAACCGATGATGTTTATCCAAAATTTGGGATCACTATGATGATTACTTTAGCACCATGATGCCACTGACTCGCTTGCTTTGCGGACTTCCGGTGCAAACCCTACAAGACCCAGCAAAGCCACATGTGCGGGCACACCTCCGTGCACCGTCGTAGAAGAAGCTCAAGCACCTGGGAAAATGGCAAAGCCTGAGGTTTTGACAGGGCAGCCCTCGGCACAAATGCACAGCAGCGAAGTTTCGTGCCGAGAAGTCTGAGGAACCAAACTTCGAAAGAAGCTTTCTAAGAGTGGGGATAGACTAGTCAGTACCCCTGCAAGAAACCTTCACCCCGCCTGTTCCCTAAGATGTTGGTAACCATCTGCCAAGAGTCGTTTCAGTGAGGTCTCTCATGCCAGCCTATAGAATGCTCGTCATGCCTACAACCACTCCGAAAAACCCCAAACCCTAAACCGTTGGCAAGAAAACTCCCCGTTCGGCAAGTCGGAGGCTGCGAGGAACCCCCCAGTTCACTCCCACGCACCCGCTAAGCAACAAAACCCTGAACCAAGGTTCAGGGCTTCAGGGTTTTCGGGTTTAGGGCTCAGAGGTTAAGGTTGGGGGTTGAATTCGTTAGGATTAAGGGCGTGTGGGCACACAACATGAGAGGGAACTCCAGTAGGGCACAACTACCTCGAACATCAATCACCTAGTTGTTGGTCGGTCGGTCGTACTCTCGTGCCTTAAGAATGCGACTTCCTCGGGGGCCCTACGAAGTAGGTTAAGGTCTTGTTTCAGGAGCAGTTCACATCAGCCCCCAGCTCTCTCTCCCGCTCACCACCTCGTGCTCACGCAGCACCGCGGCTGTCTCCACGACGGAACACAGGGCTTCGCTTGAGAGCTCCTCGGCAGGAGGATGCGCCCCTCAACTACTTCTGAACCCCAAAACCTAAACCCACTGCAACGTGACGTCTTGAACCCAAAACAGCCGTCAAGGATTGAAATCAAATTTGCCGTAACCCTTACATAAACTATGAATCCCTAAAAGCTTGCATTGAACTGAAACTCTAAATTCTAAAGCCCCGAAGAACAGCCCGCCGTAACCCTAAAGGCCATTCTTCCTCAATTGTCCTCGAACCCCAACACCTCCATTCCGAGTGATATCCCCGTGGTTCAGGAAACAAATCGCACGAGGCCTGTCCTCTGCAACGGCCACAAGCCTGCTACTGGCTAGGCAATCTATTGATTCTAATGGGGGGGGGGTTCTTTAAATGAAAGATGCTTTATGAGTCAGGGCCCCTCACAATCAGGATCCTACTATTTGCTTTGCAAAGGTCACATATTCTGAAACTTCTACATTGTTAGAGCAGGGCGAGACTGGAGCAACCCGCAGACGGGGGTTCCCGATAGCTGGTCGTTTAATGTCGACTCTCATGAAGCGGAGCCTGTTCTGTTGAAAAGTACCTCCCGGCAGGATATCCCGAATTCTCGCAAACCGCAAATGAAATTTCTTACACAAGCCCTAAACCCCTAAAACCGTGATCATAGAGCCAGGAGCCCCAAATACTTGAACCCCCAGAAAAAGCCTTGAACCTTTCACAGGGTATCGGCGGGTTTAAGGTCCGGGCCCTGAACCCTGAACCCAACAAGGCGTCACAGCAGCCAAACCCAATCCCCAACTTTGTCCTGACCTCTGCAGCGCATCCACAACCAAACCGGCCTCTCTCACTAATGTGGGCAGTGAAATATGCGCGTTCGAGTGACAGTCTCAGAAGAATCATCTTCATAATTAGCAAGGATAGGATGTACACTCGTTGGAAGTCGCTGTTGCGAGTAATTCCCAACCATAGCTGCAGAAAACATACTACTGGCCAAGAATCTTGAGACGCTGGGACTGTCTGTTGACGCCACTGGGTTGCTTTGCCGATCCTGAACAGTTAATCTTATAGCATAAGCCCCTCAAATATCAACGGCACAGCGTTTTTGCACCCCCGGGCCCAGCATAGCTCTCTCTAGACTCCGGTTTGTCGTGAGTTCTGGCATGTTGGGAGGGGGATCATTGACAGGAATCCCGGTGAATTTGGGCACAGAATTACAATCCCAAAGTACCTGATGATTGCCATACTAAACAGCAAACCTTGAGAACCTATGCTTAACCCAGGTCTAACCATTAGGTTGCCCGTTGAGACCATCTGCCCGTACCTCTACCGCCCTCGGACCGCTCAAGAAATAAACTATAATTGTGTTCGGGGTTTTTGGGGTTCAGGTGCGTGTAAGGGCTACAAAACACCGCAAAACCTGGTTCAGCCAGCATCTGCATCCTGAAACTCCCCAAAACGCGAGACCCAGCCCTGCTCCTCTGAAGCGTCCTTTTGTGAACCCATCATTTCTGGTATGAAAGCTTTTCATACAAGCTTCATGATCGGTCTGTCAGGATTTCAGACGGCCTACATACCAGAAATACATCGTTTCTTCAGAGAAAAGCACAGCTTTTTGCAGACCCCGCAAGGAGCAACACCTGGGAAACCCGCACCGGAAGAGCGCACTTCCCTGCCTGAGATTGACCCAACCGAACCAAGCACAGCGCGAGGGAGCTGAGCTGTGTTGGGGAGAGCCGGTCGTCTGACCTCCACCAGACGAACTTCGGGTTGCCGGATTCAAGCATGCAATGTAGGGGCCTTGATAATTGGAATTGGGTTTTGGGGTAGATTGTACTTAATGAGTATAGTAAGGAATTGCAAAAATCGTATGGGAGATCATATTTAGGCCCCTATATTAGCGGGCGTCGGGCTTCAAGAGATCCGGATTGAAAGGTGCTCGGGGATGCTTGGGAAAGTTCCGCGGGGTAGGCCTTACACTTCGGAGCTTGAGCCATCGCTGCTACACTTTCCTAGCAAATCGCAATGCTGGCACAAACCCTGCCGCAAGTTGGTAGACTGCTTCTGCAGTCGAGGTGGGCTTGGTTGATAGGGGCAGCGTACACGTCAGAGATGGCACAGGGAGAATAGGAGAGCAAGTCTGCCAGAACACAAGCTCGGTCTGCCTCGCTCTCGGCCAAGTATTCGCTGCTTGGTGTAGTTGAAGCTCGGTCGAAGCTAAAGGAGCCTTAAATCCTTGGACCCTAAAGCTCTGAAGCCCCAGAACATCGAGCTCTGCACGTTGAAAACTGAAGCCTCACATCTAGACTTCTCCGGAGCCTTGCAACCGCAGCCAAGGAGATCGCCAGCTCCTCCAGGCAGTGTTGCGGAGCCTGCGTCATCCTTGGGACAATCAGAAAAAGGTGGCTTTATTGTTTACAGGTTTCACGCTTTAGTGTTTAGTGTTACAGCTTCCCGCCAGAAACCGGAAGGCAAGCGAACACAAGAAGGACAAGAGCACGTGGCATTCGAAGGCTTGTTCTCTTGGGCTCTAGGACTCTGGGTCCTGACCAAGCCGCCCTAAGAGCCTCGACCTCAGCATCAATGCTGCCACGGGACGCTGCAGAGGCGAGGCAAAGGGCC